CATTTCATCCCATTCTGCAGAGCCAGTGACGTAATTAAAAAATGATTTCTACAGGCAGGTTTAGCACAATAGTAGATTCAAACCCTGAAATTATGGCTTTTAGTTTCAGTGGCCACCCAAATATATTTATTGGCCCCATCTGCCCCCCCCCTATGAAACATTTCTGGAGGTGCCACTGATTCTTCACTTTTCCTAATTGAATTTTAGCCTCTCTTCTGCAGCTCCCAGCTGCTCCTTGCTTTTTATCACCCTAGTTTGTTTACATATTTTCTAACCTCATGAGCTTAAAACCAGTAGAGCATGCAACTAAACATGAAAAGTTGTAAACATAATGTAAACTCTTTTAAGGGGATTAGGAAATACATTTGTTGGTACCTTTGGTATCGGGGAAGAAAGAATTTGTGCAGGACACAAGGTGTTTCTGACTTGCTGGAAGAGAGTAGTGTCATCACCTTTCCCACAGCAGTTGAGCTTAAGGCAAAACCAAGAGTAAACACTTATTAAAATTCAAATTTCTTTATCCTTTTTTTTTTCCCACTCATGATAAGCAGACCCAGCCAAATCCCGCCTTAAAACACACCGTGGTGTGGAAAGCACCCAGCACGCTGACGGCTGCGTCTTTACTCGGCGACCCAGAGACATCCACAGCCTTGATGTACGCGGCGTCATAGAAATTTATCAGCTCTTTAGACATCTGTGAATAAATAGAAAACAAACATCAGGATAATAATTAACGATAGACATATAGACTGTCAACATGTTGATTTTCTACATACTGTGTCTTTATTCATGAAGCCCCAGATGGCTGCAGCCACCTCGCTGGCAAAAAGGATCACCAGAAAGAAGAAAAACTACAGAGCAGATATAAGACTTATTTATTCGATCTTATTTTGTTGTTCTTCATATAAACAAGTAGTCTGAATGAACATAGAGCTGAAATACTGACCGTTCCTAGCAGACACTGAGATTCCTGAATGGCACCGTAACATCCGAGGAAGCCCACAAGCATCATGACAGCACCGACGGCAATCAGTATGTAGACACCTTTATATTGGAAAGATCCAAACATTACAGGTTCATTATCATTGGTTTTATCACCACTAGGGGGCATCAATGCAAAGAGGGAAAGAAACCATGCAGCACAGTTACATGATCTAAATTCAGTTTGGACTTCCTGGATGTCTTTCCTGTTGAATGACACGATGTTATTGGTATCCTTAAGACAAATATCCCGCACTTCCTGAGCGAGCGGGACGGAAGCTGCCACTTTGGCAAGGAAATGCCTCCATGACACCTTGGACCTCTCCACAAACCCCCGTCTGCACTGACCTCTGACCCAGAGCATGGAAACACAACATGTGAACAAACACATAAGCTGTATCACACTATCCTTGTGGGGACATCCCTATTGACTTCCATTCATTTCCTACTCACTTCTACGGCCTAACCCAGACGCTGTTCCCACAACGTCTCCAAAATCTACCATATTCCTGGAAAATCGTCCCCACAAGGTAACAAAGCATTCCCATAAAGACACATATACAGATATTAAAGCATTTACACTCGTTTTTGGTTTTTTTCCCTGTCATGTTCAGCATTATGGCAACAGAATTGGAATCTGAGTGCAAATCTCTGCCAAACACTTTAGCTTTGCCGAGGGAAGCCTGTCAGGATGAAAAACCTCCCTTGATCGTCCTACACTGCTTTATTATTTATTTGAGATTTATTTTTATTACAGACATAAAATTAGCAATGCCAAACATGACAAGTGGACAGGGGAACAGAAAAAAAAAACATACAATCAACTGCTGTATCTGTAGAAGACAAAAAATGTCTGCAAAATGAGAAAACCTGTAGAAGCATGGGGCAGATTTACCAGTAGGCAATACTAGTCAGGTGCCTAGGGCCCCAAGTTCCTGGGGGCCCCATAAAAC